ATATGATCAACAAGAAGTTGAAAAGGAATTAGAAATACTTGAAAAATTACAATGTAAATATAATAAAATTGAAGCTAAACGAAAAAAACTTGCTAAACAAAATTATGAACAAGTAAAAAATTATTTGATACGTTTTTTTTTTTTTAAAATCTAATTTATTAAATTTTTTTTCTAGATTTCAAAATTTGTTGATGCATATGAAACTGGTCTAAGTGCATTAAAAAGTGATGTTAATGATAGAAGTGTATTAGCAACAACAAACGAACATAATGATTCATTGACTAGATTAAATACATTTCAAAGTAAATGAATTATTATATATGACAGAGAAAGATTTCGATCATCTTATTTTTAAATTTAAAAACATTTCTAAATATACTGAACTTCAGGCTCCATTTTCCAGAGTTTCTGAAGAATAGAAGTTGCCTTGCTTTCTTAGCTGCAATAAGCCCGGTGGAGTTGAAATTTTTTTTTTTACAGATATTAGATACTGTTTGGGATATTCATCTTCTTTTTTGACTTCTTTCCATTCGAATAAAAAGATCAAAATACTGAGTATATCTCAGAAATACATATTTTTTGTTTTTATAAAATCTGCTAAAAATTAACGATGCAATATTTTTAACGTAGGCACCCGAAATAATGTTCAATACTTTGTAAGAAAAAACTTCAGCTCGATCGAACATACTATATTGAAGAAACGGAAGCTATTGTGCAGGGTTTTTTCGTGTAAAAATTGATTTCAAGAAAAATGAAAAACAAAGTTTTCTCTCGGTGTATTTAGGAATTTTTTTTCTCCAATTAAAATGATCGAAAATTCACTATGTTCAGCAATGTTAAAGATTCATGATTCATGTTCTCAGAACAGTTGTAATGAGAAATAATCGTTATCATTAGGAGAATTTTGTATACAAAGAATAATCGCGACAAGAGTTAAAAAATTTTGACTTCAATATCTAGAAAGGAGATCTTTCGAATTCAAAGATTTCGTGGTTTCGAGCCTAAACTTTTAATCTTAATAAAATTTTTTCTTCTACACTTGATATTTGTTCCGAAGTATGAGATATTATTTGTATTCGGCGGTTTACACACCCTACACATGTTGCATAAGAATCAACTTAGAATTGATTCTTACTTTTAGAGTAGTACTCGTCGAGACAGTTTTGAATCTCATTGAGTTCGAGTCCTATCTGACAGGATCTAACTATGAGCTTCTGGATGCAGTTTACAAACGAGTTTCTTGTTATACGATGTAGAAAAGTTAGCATCTTGATTTTAAAATAACTAAAAAAAAAGTATTATCTAAAGCAAATTATTAAACTCGACATATTTCTATTTACTAAATTTTCATTATGACCTTTGATATTATCTTGAAAAAAAATTCTTTCATATGTTTTAGGTGTTGATTTTGATACAAGTCAAATAGATCCATTATTTAAGAAACGTTTGGATAATTATTGGTAAATTTTCTTTTTCTAGATAATTATTTATCATTTAATTTTTTTGTTTTATATATTTTATAGGAAAGAAGGCAGTGCAATTTATTATCGATAGTATAAAAAAAACAAAAACCATTCGATTGTAAAAACATTTTTTTTTGGTCTTTATATTGTTTATTAAAATTCTTGAAAATAAAATAGAAAAATAGTTATTTGTAAATAATATTTTTACTAAACAAGATTAGTATGTCATCAATATATTCAATTCTATTACAAAGTTTTTAATTAAATAATCTTGATTGATATGAAAATATAATTATTAAATATATAGTAAAGTATAGAGATTCAATATAAATTATCAATATATTAAAATTAATGATATTTAAATTTTGTGGAATATGAAATATTATGCAAAAAAAAAATCAAGTGCATTTGTCGATAATAGAATTATTGTTCCCGGAAAAGTTGTTTCCACGCTTTTAAAGATATAGGAAAAGTGTGAGAATGAAGAAAAAAAAAATCATACCGATATCTAATTATAACCTATTACTATGTTTTTTTTAATTGATAAAGATTCTAACAATGCACTCGTTGTTTCGATTTAATAGTGTCATATCACGGAAAATATTGCTTAAATTGATTGATTAGAGTAATCCGAAACTTGTAGAATTCCTTTTTTATTTTTGGTTGTAATAATAATAATAAATTTACTTTTAGCATATCTGTTCGTTTCATATGACAGAAATTTTCTATTTTTCATAATAACACAATTTGAAAAAGATGAAAATAATAAAAACTGTAGTAGTAAGAAGTAGAATCACGTATCTTCTCTAAAGGAGTATTGGAATGTATTTATTTTGTTATTCTAGACAAAGTCTATTTCATAGTTCGAGTATATTCAAATATTTATCATCACAATATATTTGTATTAAAATTTTTCTTTCAACGTTATTCAAATAACAATTGTTTAAGTATATTAATTTTTAATTTGTCAACAGAACGATTAATAAATAATATTCAAATGAACAATTAGAATTAAATTGATATTCAATAATAAACTTCGTTACTTAAAAAAAAAAAAAAGAAATATTATATTATGACTGACATAATCAATCCAATTGTGTTTTCGTTCATCTCGTATTAAGTAATTTTACATATTAATAAATAAAAATGCTTGGTCGCGTTTACACAACAAAAGTGTGAATATCTGTTCTCAGAAATTTTCTATGTTTAATTTTTACTATAATTAATCATAATTTTGAAATATTAAATTTTCTTTGCAAAAAAAATAAGTCTTCTTATCCATTTTATCAATATTTTGTATTCTTACAAATTAAAATAAACTAATATTATATTTGACTTAATCGTTTCATTTCATTATAATATATTTACGTATAGAAATTCGATTTTATTTTATTTTATTCAGTGTATATATATTTTTTTTTGACACACAATAAGTCACCTGTGTTTTCATCGATAGAAAACAAATAGACAATTCCGAGTTTGGAAAACTATTCGTCACTAACTCAATTATCGATTTACACTAAGAAACACTTTTCTCGAACTATTACTATAAATAATCTTTATGTAATAAAAAATTAGTACATTCCATATTTTTGTTTTTGTGTTACAGAAAGTTGATTTAAATATTTTTAATCAATATACCAAAACACTTTTCGAGTCATAGTGCAAATTACTTTGTTCGATTGTTACTATGTTATAATTTTTATTTCGTCTCCTAGATGGACACGAAAAAGAAAAAATTTTTTTCTTGTACGAAGAATTTCTATCGTAATAGGACAACAAAAATCATTTAGTTCCTAATGAACTCTTTTATATTTCTTCTAACGCTTATATTAACAACATTAATGTAGGTTATTAGAGAATAAATTCTGATGAAAAAAAGTTTTATTATATTAAAGTAAATGTTGACCATTATATCATAATTCTTTTTTTTTTCTATTTCTAATCAAAAAACACATATTATTGATATACATAACACATCACATATATAAATGGAAAGAGTGCAAAGGTGTGAAGATGAAGAATTTAAAAGTTTTATTAGAAAAGTAAAAGAAAAAGCAAATAACACAAAAGGAAATTAGATTTTCTTCAGCATACACAAAAAAAAAAGAGAATAAGGAGTAAACATGCATGATAAAACATGATAGAAGGTGACACTATAGATTCTAAGAAAAGAAAATTGGAAAAATGATAATTTTTAACGACTAAAAATAGAGAAAAAAAAAAAGAAAAAAAAGCCATCTTAAATAGTACTATTTCAATACAGCAATACCTTCATACTACACAGTTTTATAGCACAAAACGTTTTTTTTTTGTTCAATACAAAACCAATTATTTAATTAAACAAAATAGATCTTAGTTCATAATGATATTTATCTCAAAACGAAACATTAGACATAGATATTCATCGAATCAAGAAGCATGTTTCTCCATCGTAGGTCTTTTTTTAGCTATTGGATTTATTGGTGGTCTAACTGGATTAATTTATGGTAACGAAAAACAAAAATATATCTATTATTTTTTACTTATATTTACTTTTTCAGGCTTAGTCAAAGGTAGTTCATCTGGAACTATTGCTGGTGCCATTGTACTTGGTGCTTCAATATTTTTAATTGTTATATTTATTTTTATCGTTGTACTTTGTTTAAAAAATAACAATATGAATTCAAATACCAATCAGCAACAACAACAACAACAACAACAACGACATCGTCAACGTAAACAAAAACGTCAAACTGAACATGAAAATTCTTCACATGAAATACAAACTATATCAACTGTACAGAGACATGAACAAACAAATGATATGAATAGACAAATGTTTCCATCATCTATTCCAAATGAATCAATAGATAAAAAAGATTATGGTTTTGCTAAATATGTAATATCACCATCGTCAAAATCATCCGCATTTACTTATTTAAATGAAAGTCATTCTTCAATAAATAGTAATATTGTAAGACAAAATAATTATGATCGACATTGAAATTTTTATGCATTGTTTCGTTTCGATTTTATATTATATATAATATATTCCAAAGACTTCAGCAGGGCTCCTTCTGTTCTTTTTCTTGATTTTTATTTTTTTTTCTTTTTGTTTCTCAACTTGTACATATAAATGTATGCATAATAAATAGTCAAAAGTATTGTAAAGTAACTGAGCAAGAGAGGGAGAGCAATAAAACAATGTTCGAGACATGTAGCACAAATAATTGCATCGATGTTGTTGATGACTTATAAAAAAATATTTGATTGTTCTGTCTCTCAATAAACACCCGAAAGAAAACTGGCAGGCAAAAGGTGAAATCTTGTTGTCGCTGTTTTTTTTGTTAGTATTTCAATCACTCATTTCACTTTCTTTCTCTCTCCACCCTTACATTTGAAAAGCAAGACTGTAATATTACTATTCGAAATTTTTATTGAGCTTCGTACATTTCTTTGCATCATTCACTATCAAATCGATTAAAAAGCCAAACTCAAAGAAAAAAAAAGAACGATTTTTTGAAACTAATTCTTTTCATTTATTTCAATAAATTTATGCCATCAAATACTCGTTGGACACTTAATCCAAGAAAATGGTTTGGTACTATATCATATACTGGTCAAAAACATGAAAAAAATAATAATTCATTACCACCAGTACCATCAACAGCAACAACAACAACACGAACAATAACATTAACAAATCCACGTCTTTCAACAGGAAAAAATAAAATAAATGTTATACCAATATCAATTTCAAATGATACAAATAAAACTACAACAACAATGGTAGCATCAATAACACAACTTCAATTACCAGCATTTAGTATTCGACGTGAAAGAATATCATCATTATTACCATCACAAACATCATTTAATCGTCAAAATACATTTATTCAAAATCATACAGAACCATCAATACGTAAAAATGGTCGTTTTGAAGAACAATTATCTATTGATACAAAACGATATAATAATAATAATAATAATATTCAATCAACATCAACAACAAATAATGAAACAATAGAACATAGAAATATTCAAGAAAATTTTCCAATACATCAAACTGAAATAAGTTTATCAAATATGTCACATCAATGTTTAATTGATTATCCAAAATATTCAGCAAATATAATGAAAGAACTTTCAACACCAACACGTTCATCATCATCATCATCATTATATAATGAAAATGATAATTCATCATCAAGTGGAATCTATACTGATGAACGTCAATGTACTGAATCAAAAGATACATTATCAATATTAGAAGCTCTTTCAATTGAATCTATAGCTGATTCACAAACATCATTAAATCATTGTCATAATCGTCCAATGATACATCATTATCGAAGACCAATGTCTGATTTTAAAAAAAATGATGAACAACCTCAACAACAACAACAACAACAAAATTCTGTAATACAAGCACATCGTTCACAAAGTGCTGAAGGGATTCTTAAAGATAATGAAATAATATCACCAATAAAAAGTCGACAATCATCAGCAGCTATTAATAAAAAAATTGATAAACATATTTCAATAAATCGATCACCAACAACTAAATTAGAAAAAGTTGGATTTATTCGTATTGCTAATGATACATATCGTTTAAATACAAATAAATTTAATTATCTATCTCAATCTCGTAAAAATTCTATTGATTCATTTATACCATATTCAAATTATGATGATCCATTACGTTCAGCTAATAATGAAGAATGTTATGCAACATTACCACGTACAAGTTCAACTGAACAATTAAATAATAATAATAATATACATAATAATCTTCGAAATATTGTCGATGAATGTATTCGTCCAATGGTAACATCAATTGGTAAAAATCGTTTCACAAAAAATTATCAACAACGTTATAAACGTCCTCATATTCATAATGATCATACACAATTAAATATTGAACATATAACTGATAAATTATTATCTAGTGTTGATTGTTCAACATATGCACGATATCAAAGATCTTATTAATTTTTATTTATTTGTTTTTATTTTTTTGGCAATAAAAAACAAAACCTATAATAATTAATTATCAAATTAATCTAGAAAAATATATGATTAGAAGAAGAAGAATAAGAATAGGTATCATTTAAAATGTTTTCAAATAAAAATCGAAATCAATTTTGATATATTCTATTTTCTACATAGTATGTTTATTTACTTGCATAAAATAGAAGCAAATAGTATAGTTACATAAAAATTTAACAACGATGAGAAAGTCAACAAAGATATAAATATAATCTTTAGTCTTTTCATACATATAATACGAAGAATAATATTATGGAGAACAAAAAAGGAAAATTTATATTGTTTTAAGTTAAATCAAAAATAGTAGATTTTAGTAAAATATTTTTTGATTATAAAATTTTATTAATGCACAATGAAGGACAAAGAATTCATGTTTATGAGTAATAAATAGTACGTTTCTAGCAAATGATCCTACTAACTCATGAGGAAAGTCCTCTAGCAGATTAATTGCTTTGAAGTCTAAATTATGTGGATCCTAATCAACTATGAATACTTTGAAATGAGTTCGGATCTCTAGCTTACAGCTACTGAGATACTACATTTTTCCGATTCTTTTTTTTTTAAAGTTAATACTGTGATCTATCTCATGAAAATTCAGTTTCAAATCTTGACTTACAACTTTGCACAGAGTCAGATTTCTAACTCGAATAGTTTATTGTGAAAGTTTCGTGTTTTTTTATTTGTTCTAAAAACATTAACTCTGTCGATGTAAAAGATAAGTTTTTATCATAGTTGTATCTTAGGATAGATACAACGAAATGATCTGAAATTTTCACAATAAATTATTCAGAAAGTTAAAAAAGTAGCATTAAAATAATGAAACGGACAAAAAAAAATTGATGCATTTCAAATTCATCGATTAAAATAGACATTTTCATTAATTTCATTGCATGACTTTGATTAAAAGTGAAATTTACTGCATTTGCTTAATTAAAATGTTGCTTTTCATCAATGATTTTGAAAAACATCAAATTTTTTTGTCCATTTCATCATTAAAAATGCCATTTTTTTTTTCGTGTTTTCGATATAAAATTTACAAAAATTATGAGCTTTTTTTGATTCCATGAATATTCTCGATAAGACTAGTCTCTACAAAAATTTTCAAGTTAAAATTCGCAAATGAGTTTTTTCTAGTGTTTCTGAAGGAGACCACTACATTCATTTAAAAACTACCGTAAAAATTCATTATCTCGGTATTAATCAGCCAACAACTCGAGCTCTTCTCAGGATATTAGCATTTAATCTCGTTTTCATTCATTATTTCAAGTAATGATTCTCGAAAACAAAAAACACATGATTCATTATTTCCACTATTTCAAATTTTTTGTTATTTTGAAAATATACCCAATGGCACAAAATTGATTATCTATGATTCAGATATGTTTTCTTTTTCTATTTTAACACCTATATATTTTTTTCTTGTATATTTATCATTAATTTTACACTCATAATTCTCATGTACCACCCACATTCGTTCTAACAATGTACTGCACTGCATGTTATGTCTTAGTTTAATCTTATGCATACGTGAACACTACAATTATCAACAGCATGTCAGCCGGAAGTCACTATGTTAATCTGTTAATCATAAAAATAGAGAATGAAATCAAGTGAAGACGATGGGAGTATGGTGACCACTTGAAATTACATTACCTATGGCTGTTCTCTCTGCATGAAATCAAGAAAAAAATGTCATTTTGCAATTTGATCTTCATTTTCATAAAACAAAAATGAAAAAGGAGTAAATCTAATTTCTCTTAATCCAATCTTATCTCTTCGACAAGAAAAAAAAACATACCGACATAAAAATTCATTAATTTTATGCTTTAACACTTTATTGACAAAAAAAAAAACAAAAATATATTAAAGAAGTGATGTTTGATCTCATAAGAATGATGAGCATCATGTATTATGAATACCCGTTGGCAATAATTATATATGTGCTCATTTCTTTGATCATGGTGACGTGCAAGTATTGTATAAAAAAAGAAAAGGCGATAGGTGAATAAACACACGCATGTAAATAAAAGGTGGAGCCACTTTAAATTTTTTAATTGAAAAAAACAATTTCTTTATTGACGAAAAGTATGTGACACATACGCATATAGCTCTATACAATTATTTGACTTTGGAAATTAGACATGATTGCGTCGGTATATATGAAGAAAGATATTTAACATTCATTTACACATTCAAAGTGTTGGAGTACTATATGAACATCCTTCCGTTCAGAAAAAAAAAATCATTTTTATGTCAATTAAAATAATATATATATTAACGAACAAATTTCTTTTTTCTTAATACATTATGATATATGAAATAAATTTTTATTTCACAGATTAAATGATACTTCATACTTTTCTTTTTTTCTCATATTTTCGTCACACTGAGTTGTATATTGATTAAAATATACAAGTAGTGATGAAAAAAAAAGAAAAGAAGCAAAAAATGATCATTTTGATAGTTGGTGAAAGATAACACTTTTGTGCTGATTAGACTCTTCATATGATATTCCTGATCTTCAAGATGTACACAGCAGGAAGATTGCATGGTTGATATAAATATAATTGTAATGCAAAATTTAAACGAATGCCGGCAATATTGTTTTACATATCACCTCTATTGACACTGTCTACGAAATAAAATTGATTACACATATGAGCTGTAACCGATTGCTTTATAATTTATTGCTATTGTTATAAAAAAAAAAAAAAAAAAAAAAAGAAGACAAATTCTTAGGTGTTAATGAGAAAGTAAGAAGAAGTAGTATTAGTTGCCGATGCATGACGTGTAACACATACATTGTTTTTGAATTACAGTCAAGATATATTTCTATTTCTGTGAATATGTGAGAGGAGATGAGAACAAAAAAAAATGAGGTGTACTTTTTTCCCACTTCACTTGACTTCATTTCCATTTTTTAGATTAACTTTTTTTTTTTTTTGGCTTATACACTTCTCGATAATTGCATAGCGTGCATAAGCAGAGATTATTAAGGTTGACTGATTGAATATATGTCTCGCTCTTTGTATTGCGAGAAAATGAGAATGATTCTATAAGTGTAAATGAATGAACGAAAAAGATCGATAGTGGCTGATTGTAAGGATCAGTATGTCGAACATAAGAGCGCCAAAAGCACGTGATAGTGAAGTGTTATTATGATTGATAAAATGGGCAATCGAATGTTAATGCACATAAATTATATATATTACCGTATCCGATTTTCAATAATCTTGAAGAAATATTTATTTAAATGACTTCGATATATCTAATGTTGAAAAGAAAAAATGTTCTAAGATGAAACACTTGTAAAATACTCTGAATTAGAAATCGATAATATCTTGAACATTAGAAGTTCAAACAGACTATTGGAACTGTCTGTTGATCTCTCTGAAGGAGGTACTGACACTTGTAAATTTAAAAAAAAATTAGTTTGTTAGCTGGAAATATAATTATGATAAGGTATAATGGAGTATCTATGCTACTGAAGAATAAGAAATTAAATTTGATCATTTATTACAGTACAAAAAACACTGTATAATAGTCAACCAGGAGTTTTTCCCCAATGCATAATTTTACATCGCTATTTTGTGTCCCGATGGTCTAAAGATCGGAGAGTTGAATAATTTTCATTCAAACGTTGTTACAGAATTCCATATTCCTGTATGATCTTTTTTTTTTCTCGAAATAATGCAAACGAGTTTCAACAACAATAGTGATTAGATCGAATGTTGCTGCTATTTTTCCGAATTTTTCGTTATATCAAGTTCGGTAATTGAAATTTAAAATGTATTTGTCAGTCTCATCTTTTTGTAAACGAAACTGAAATTGTTCACTACGTATGAATATAATTGATTTAATTTACTTTCTGACTGATAAAAGTAATTGAACATTGTTAGAGGGCTCACAATGCTATCTAGATATATGTGTTTTCCATTGATTAGACGAAAATCATGTCATAGTTCTTTGTTTTCAAAGAGAATTTCATTTATCATATATTATTTCAAATCATTATGTGTTGCTTTTACTTATATAGAGAAAAATAATAATCAAATTTTTATATTCAAGGAAATAGTTGTAATATGTTCTCAAAATAATATCTCGAAGTGAATATAAAAAAAATTTTAAAATAATTTTGTAACTGGATATACATTACAATGCTATAATAATGAAACCATATAGAGGAATATTACAGATGTTATGGCTCGTTTTTAAAACAAATTAATGATGATAATTTCATTTAAAAATTTTCCTTGAGAATAATGTGAGAACATGGATGCAAAAAATACTTTTTTGTATTCTATGCTTGTATTGATTAATTTTTTCATTAAAAAAAGACAACTTGTCGAAAGATGAATTCGCCATGTATTATCAAACGAAAATATGCATTGTTCTATTTCTATTTACAATAATATTTTCCTAGTTTCAGTCCTGTTAACTTCTTGAGAAATCCTTTAAAAGTCCTGCCAAATTTTATTCAGAACCGTTTTCGAGATTTCTTCAAGTTTCTGCTCAAACTTTTTTTTCCAAAATTAAGAATACAGAATTCACTATCGATCCTATTCAAGACCGTTACAGGAATAGAGGGCAGAATTGTGCCAAGATTTTATCAAGTTTTAGTGAAGATCTGCTGTGGATCCTTATTCAAGGTTCTAACCAAGAGCTAAAGTTATTAACATTCTGCTCTGAATTTTTCAGGAACAAGTATTTTTCGATTTTTACAAGACAATACTAACTATGATCAAAATCGTGATAGAATCTTTTCAGAATTCTATCAAGATTTATAAGTGATTTTGTTCAGAATCTGCTCAAGATTTGTAAATCTTTACATCATAACACGAATTCTAATACTAATCTTAAGTAAAATGTTAGCAGTGGTAAATGGAAAGATTTTTGAACCTTTAATTACATTTTGCTTAAAATCTGACAAGATTCGGAACCTC